GCGGGGCGGGGAAAATTCCCCGCGAAATTTCACGGGGAGAAAATCTCCCCCATCCCCGCCCCGCGGGGAGGAATATTCCTCCCCGCCCCGTCCCCGTGACGGGCCCCGCGGGGATCGGGGGAAATTGCCACCCCTAATCTAAGTTAGCAAATACTTTTATTTATAACATTTTCTTTCTTTGGTATATAGATCCTTGGCCTTGTTCAAATTTAGAAAAAACGGATTGTTTCTCTCATAATGGAAGTGTTTAAAAGGCAAAAGAAGAAGAGCGTGGCATTGAAATAACACCTTGAGAAAGAATATCATAACTAGCAACTGGTTTCTCATAAATCATATATATCTACAATTAAGTTTTTATTTTTAAAGTTTTTTATCGAGTACAAGTCTAGAATGAGAATAAGAATTGTAGTAAATTGAGGATTGAATTAAAATTTTAAAAATTTATTTTATTAAATATTAATATCTGTATTTAAAAACCAATTATATATTCACAATAAAATCCATTTTCAAATGCAACTATTAACCATAGATTTTTAAATTTTAAATAAATAAGATAACATAATTTAAGGGTAGGACTCTAATTTATTTTAGAAGTTGAGATTGATGTGTACATTTTCTATATATATTAGAATAGTGCATATCAAATTAAACCCAAATAAAATTTGAGGTCCCAACTTTTAATAATGTTGTTTCATTTAATTAAAATTTAATTTAAAATATAAAAATCTATCTTATAATTTAATTTAAAATATAAAAATCTATCTTATAATTTAATTTAAAATATAAAAATCTATCTTATTAAATATCAATATTTAAACTAAAAAACCAAGTATATTAAAATATATAATTAATTTTTGAATTTAAGTATCAACAATTAATAGAGTAAATTTCTAAATTTTAAATTAAAATCGTAGTGCCATGACTAAGAGTCAATTAAGTCTTTCGTCAATTTTGTTTATAACCTTTTCCTTCTTTCATATATAGAGTGTATCCTTAGCCTTTTTATTAATTATTCAAACTCATTCTAGAAACATAAAAATATAAGAAATTAACATACACATAAAGTTTAGAAGGAGAACTGCAATAAGTGATTATGGCACTATTCTGCTCACCCCATTTAGAGCAAGTGATTGTAAATTACATTAAATAATTTTTTGATATTAATATTTATCTACTAATATTTGTTATATATATATATGTGTATATATATTAAGAAATCCAAGTAAATAATCTTTTTAAATTATTAATTTTAATTTTTAAATACAAGAAATATCTTCTTACGTACATCCCATCATGACAAATGTAAAAATTTCTTACTAAGATTTAAATTACTAATTAAAATCATATTAATAATGTGATTGTAATCATTAATTACTCCATCTAATTTCAAAGTAGAAAAATAAGAGGGGAGTCAGAAATGTAGATTCAAAAATGATATCTACTGTGGGTCAATATTACATTCTATATTCATTTATTTTTGTTTTGACGAAATATATTTAATTATTAGTGTATCTCAATTTATTTTTGTTTTGATGGAATATATTCAACTATTAGCATACCTCAATTTGAAACACTCTATATATACTCTTCTAGAGTACTCTATTACACCAAACAGAGATATGGGAATTTTCACAATCCTCTCGACACTACTCTGCCTCTGGTTTTTCTTCCTCTGTCTTAAAACTGCCTTTTCATCCTCTTTACATGCTTCTTCCTTCCCAACAACACACCTCTGCTCTCATGAGGAGGCTACTGCTTTGTTGCAATTCAAGACTTCCTTTTCCATCGGTTACACTGTTCCTGATTTGTTTTTATGTGAGCTATATTATGATACTAAAGCTAATTATTCTAAGACTAAGTCTTGGAAGGAAGGTATAGACTGCTGCTCCTGGGATGGGGTTAGCTGTGATAATTTCACAGGTCATGTAATCACCCTTGATCTCAGTTGCGGCCTTCTTTCTGGCACCTTTCCCTCCAACAGCACTCTTTTTCTCCTCAAAAACCTAGAGAGCCTCAATCTTACCTTTAATGATTTTAGGCTTTCCAAGATTCCACCAGAAATCAGTCAGTTTACTAGACTAAAGCATCTTGATATCTCTTATTCTCAGTTTTCGGGTCAAGTTCCAGCAGAAATTGCTCAGCTATCCAATTTAGTTTCTCTCAATCTCTCTTACAGTTCTTCTGACTTGATCCTTGAAACAACTACCTTCAAAAATCTTGTTCATAACTTGAGTGAGGTGAGAGAACTTGTGCTTAATGGAGTGAACATGACTTCTGTTAATCCTCGTTTCTTCATGAATCTCTCTTCTTCATTGACTACTCTCTCTCTTTTTGGTTGTCAGTTAAGAGGAAACTTTCCAAACGGTATTTTTCGCTTTCCAAATCTCAAGAATTTTTATTTAGGTGGAAAGCGAAACCTCACTATTGATCTTCCAAGTTCCAATTGGAGCAGTCCTCTCCAACGGTTGTATTTAGGTGGTATCGATTGCGGAAGGCAATTGCCAGAGTCTATAGGAGATCTAAAGTCATTACAGTCTCTGTGTCTTGGCTGCAACTTGGAAGGTGCCATTTCAGCTTCCATAGGGAACTTATCTCAACTTACTCACCTAGAACTCTTTTATAACAATTTTAGTGAACAAATCTCATCATCACTTGCAAACCTCACACAACTTACCTTTCTTGACCTTTGGAATAATCAGTTTTCTGGTCCCATTCTAGCTTCCATAGGGAACTTATCTCAACTTACTTACCTAGGCCTCTCTTATAACAATTTTAGCGAACAAATCTCATCATCACTTGCAAACCTCACCCAACTTACCTCTCTTGACCTTTCAAATAATCAGTTCTCTGGTCCCATTCCAGCTTCCATAGGTAACTTAAGGAAACTTACTAGCCTAGACCTCAATTCTAACAATCTTAGCGGACAAATCCCACCATCACTTGCAAACCTCACACAACTTAGTGATCTTGACCTTTCAAATAACCAGTTTTCTGGTCCCATCCCTTTTCATGCAAGTAGGTTTTCCAAACTAGACATTCTAGATTTTTCTTTTAACTTACTTAATGGCACGTTGCCACCTTGGATTTTCACTCTACCTTCGTTAGAGGAATTGTATCTCAGTCATAACCAATTTCAAGGGCAAATAAATCAATTCCAGCAAAAATCACTCGTAACTCTTGATTTGTCAAACAATAAACTCCAGGGCTCAATTCCTAACTCAATTGCTAATTTAGTAGATCTTAGTGTTGTCGATTTATCATCAAATCATTTTAGTGATTTAGTGGAACTTGACATGTTCTCGGCGCTTCAAAATCTGAAAATCATCTTTCTTTCGAACAATAATCTGTCCTTGGGAATGAATGTCAATGCCAATTTCACATTACCCCAACTAATTTATGTTTCCTTTTCTTCTTGTAACTTGAGTGAATTTCCCAATTTCATAAGACATTCAAATGGTCTGCAAAGCCTAGTGCTATCCAAAAATAGCATTCATGGAAATATTCCTGAATGGATATGTGAAAAGGATGATCTCCAAATTCTTGACCTTTCTCATAACAATTTAATCGGGGAGGTTCCAAATTGTCTTCCTAAGCCTCTCTCAGTGTTGAATTTGCAGGCCAATTACTTTGATGGAAATATTCCCGAATGGATATGTGAAAGGGATCTCGAAATTCTTGACCTTTCTCATAACAACTTAATTGGGAAGATTCCAAATTGTCTTCCTAAGTCTCTTTCAGTGTTGAATTTGCAGGCCAATTATTTTGATGGAAATGTACCATTTGGGTTTCCAGAGGGCTGTGGATTACGAAATCTTAACTTACATGGAAATCAAATGGACGGGCTATTACCAAGGTCTTTGGTGAATTGTAGCATGTTAGAGGTTCTAGACGTTGGCAACAACAACATCGAGGACACTTTCCCTCATTGGTTGGAATCCCTATCAGACCTTCAAGTGCTTGTCTTAAGGTCCAACAAGTTCCACGGTTTTGTGCAGAGCACCAAAGAAAGTCCATCTTTTCCCAAGTTACGAGTTCTAGACCTCTCCAGCAATGATTTTCATGGCCCTTTGCCTGTTCGGTACATTGAAAATTTTAAAGCCATGATGGACCCTCATAGAGAGGATCGTTCCCTTGAATACATGAAGGCACCAACGAATTCTTATCAATATTCACTGGTTGTGACATGGAAGGGATTGGACTATGAGCTGCAGGGAATCTTGATCATATTCAGTAGTATTCATCTCTCAAATAACAAGTTTGAGGGAGAAATTCCAGATGTTATTGGAAAGCTTAGTTCTCTCAAAGGGCTTAATCTTTCTCATAACAACCTTACTGGTCATATCCCACCGTCACTAGGGAATTTGATGAATCTGGAATGGTTGGATCTCTCTTCCAACGAGCTGGCGGGGAAAATTCCAGATGAATTGGTATCTTTGACACAACTTTCTGTGTTGAATCTTTCAAATAATCATCTTGTCGGACGCATACCACAGGGCAA